TTAAATTTATTAAGTTTTGTAAATTTAATTCAAATAAACTATGGGCTAAATGCTATGTTAGGTAATGGCAGAAAAAGATGATGACTAAGATACAACTATTACACTCTTAGATTATGCAAACTATTGTTAGATTATTTACAATAAAAATATAATTTAATGCAGCTACAAAAAAAGGAATTTGTGCCCCATACTGTAGAAACATAATGGGAGTAGCAATTAGATGTTTGGGAAGTTTCAAGGTTAAGTAAACTCAAATGGACTTTAAAAGAGTAAGTAGGAATTCATCAGTTAAGGAAGGAAGGAGGGACATTTTAGCAAGAAGGATGAGCACGTCTAGTATCATGGAGATGTGCAGAGGCACAGACATTTGGGATGTTTGTAATGGCTAAAGGAAGACCTTTAGATCTGTATGCATGGACTTTAGATCTATGTGCCATCTTGGATGCACCATTTATTGATGTGTGATCCTGAGCAAGTGACCTTCCTTGACCAATCCTGTATTTCTTCATCTTTAAAATGGAGGTATTGCCAGGCACAGAAAATTAAAAGCATAGTAAATAACACAAATATTTTCCTCGTTATTCACTATGTAAACAAATATATGAGAAAGCTATATACTTGGACCTTATTAGCTGAGCTGCTTGAGGAATTCATTAAAGAACTGAAAAATTGAATGATCAAATTTTTGCTTTAGAAAGATAACTGTGGCACTCATATAGAGAGAGGATGGATTAGAGAGAGATCTAATGAGAAAGATTCAACAACAAAGAGGCTTAGTAAGAGATGGGGAGGGTATAGTGTATGCTATACAGATAGGGGCATGAACACCATTTGATGAGTGGTTAGACGTTAAGGCATACTTCCAAGTTGTTGTTATATGTGAGTTAGGTTTTGCCATGAACTGAGGTATAGGTGAAAAACAATAGGCATGTGCAGGGGTAAGTTATAAAATCAACGTAGAAGGTTTTACTTTTGTTTTTTATTTATTCCATCTTTTTTTAAAGATATATAAAGATGGAGATGTTATATTCATGTAGAAATGCCTAGATCAAAGAATGGACATTTGATCTTGGAAGTTAAAAGAAAGGTATGGGATGTAGTTGTAGAAAATAACTGTGGGAGGTCAAGATAAAGGCATGAACTGTAGATCTGACAAGGTTCTATTTCACGAATTCATATCATATTTACTGAGCAACGATTATATATACAAAGCCCTGTACAAAGGGCCAAGGATCACAACTTATTAGAAATCATGGTCATTTTATCATTATTTGCAAAGGAATTGAAACATGAATATGTAATTACAAACTATGATCTACTGCAAAAGAGCAGACAGGGTACTAGACACACTTATAAAAAGATCTAATCATTTGGAGGGGGAAAAAAGTGTTCTGAAATTTCCTGAGAATTGATATTTGTGCTTGGGTGGATAGAGATTAGATATTTGGAAACAGTAAGTGGGTGGACAGTGTGCTCAGTGTTGCAGACATTCCTACAGGTACCATCAGTAAAACCCTGAGTGAGAACACTTAGCAACTAGTAAAAACAAAAACAACATAAATGAAGCCAGACAACTGTCTTTGGGCATAAAGGAGAGCAGATGCCAGGGAAAAGTGGATCCACTCTAAACTTGGGCAGAAAATCTCAATGGATGGAATGAATAGTGGCAGCTGCCAGGATTTGAGGAAAGGAAGTTGACATTTTAAGGCCTACTTTAAAGAGGGAAAAAGAGAAAAAGTTGTTGACTTGGGCCTAAAACAAGTTCTGGAGCATAACAGTATTTAGAGGGGTTCAATGAAGATCCCTAGAGAAAAACAGAAAATTATTATCTGGTCTGAAAATGTGGAGGCTATTGTTATCCTTCAGTTACCGGACCAAAAATGGAAAGGAAATCAAGTTACAATGGATTGAGAATTAAATTAAAAGTGGTAACATAGAAAATGTAAGTGATGCTTTCAAAAAGCTTCAATGGGGAAAAAGAGAGTAGAATCTCAGGATGGGGGAAATGGGTGACACAGGATCTGGAGAAAGTTTTGCTTTTACCTTTTTTGTAAGTTAAACATACTAAGCATATTCATTAACTAATAGGAAGGAGAGCTGAAAAGGAGAAGATGGCTTTGAAGAAATTAGAGAAGAAAATAATAACTGCCTGTTCAAGGTTGAGAAAGGAACAAGAAAGAAAGGGATCAAGAGTGGGAGTGGAAGAATTAGTGTTGGGCAAGTTGAATAGTATTGGGTATGAAAGAAGGTTCCAGAAGAACTTGGGGTATTGTATAAGGAGATACTTGGAAAGGCACAAAAATTTAAAGTTCGATAATTCATCTAGCACTATACTTTTAGAATAAGATTTTGTTTTCTTAATTTCATACCTAGGGCTATAAGTCATGGAAAATTTTGTCCAAGATCCCATAGCAACATAGGGTATGTTTTCTAATAGTTGGCTCAAATGTAACTCCAATTTGAATTGAGTGGATTTATTTATTCAACAAAAGTAACTTTAAAATCAAAGTAGTCTACATGCAAACTGAACATTAACTACAGATTTCTCTTTTCCAAACATGTAATATTCATATGCATCTCTGAGTCATTATTCTTATCAGGTATATTAATACTGCCAGTTAACAAATTTTTAAGAACCTTTTATATGCTTTTTGAATTGACAGATAATTTAATTGCATTTACTCATGTTTACTAATTTCAAAAGCAGAAGACCTACCACAGTATAATTAAACTGAAAGGATATCAGTATAGCCTAGTTCAAGAAAATTATTATTTTCCACTTTAAAATTAAATCTAATGGAAACTAAAGCAGAGGTGGACTGTGCTGAAATGTCTTTTAGGCAGATGTGCTAGTTTGGGGCTCTCCACATGATTTCTTTTCAGTTCTAAGGACCCGAATATTTCCAAGGTAGGTATAGGAAATACCTCCCAAAACTCATTTGGGTCATGAAATTGGATTGAGTGCCCACTGACAAATTCATCATCGTAAAGTTTTAAAAGCCTTTCTATGAAGGTAAAGGTTTTCTCATTAATAGTATATCTCCACATTTAATACAGAAATTCATTACTCTTTTATTCAACAAAAAATTCTGAACTGCCTACTAAGTGCCTGGCTCTGTGCTTGGCTCTTTGAGCTACAGAAAAGTGAGTAAGCATAAGCAACATGCCTGATGTAATGATCCCTTCAATGTAGCCACTGAACTTAAACCACTAAGACCCGAGCCCTTTTAGTTGTTTTTTTACAAATTAGTTGTTTTTCTACATATTAGATTGGAACGTCAACAGTTTCAACCTAGATTATCTTAACTCTGTGTGATTTCATATGTGGGTCCACCCTAATCTAGTATTCAGTAGATTTGAACTAGCAGTAAGTTACTGCTTTCAAAATGAATTATCAAGAATGTGTTTTCTGCATTTGTATGTACTTCTATTTTCCAAGTTTAGGGATCCAGAAGGCATATTATTTGATATGCCAAATCACAAGGTCAGTTTGATTGGCACCCTCATAGCATCAAAAAAAAATAATGTATAAATAAATTTCTATATGGGGCATTTATACAATAAAGCACTATTTATCTTTTGTGACATATTTGCAAAGTACTAACAAGCATTTTATCTTAAAAAAACTGTTAGTATGAAAGTGTATGTGAAACTCACATAACTAAAAATGTAATTGCATAGATAGCAATGCAAAAGAAGTATGCTATATGGGAAATGAAAACATAAATTAACAATAAAATGCAATGGAAATGCTTAAATAACCTAGAAATTAAGCATAGAAAATTAATCAGATTCCCTTTAATATTTACTCATTGGCTATTAGTATGCAAAACACAGCTTACAGAACAAAATAAACCCAGGATTCTTATTAAAAGTTCTACAGCTTAAAAAATCAAGGAAAAAGAGCAAGACTCTTAAACTATAACATCAACTGTATGCTTAAACTGAAATATGGTCTTAGAAATGAGAAAATACATTTATATTCAAATAATTGAAAAATAAACCAGCAAGTATGCTATTCCAAATATAGCAAAAGAATTATTTATGTAGATGTATTAAAAAGAAACCCTCCAAGTGACACCTTTTGCTATTATTAAATATAATTTACATTTCACTGATACATATAAAGCCTCCTCTTAAGGCAAGTGAAAAACCTATAGAATAACAAAGGAAACTGCTGTTGTATAGTTGCAAAAAACTTCCACCAGCTTTGTGTTTGAAACTGAAAAGTGAATACCAGTATTTCCCAAAGAAGTTTATCTTAAAAACAAAGAACTTTTCTCTATAGTCTACACGAGCAACTTAAAATTTCTAGGCATTCGAACACCCACGTAATTTATTCCATACGACATGGGAGAGAGAACAGCACTGCCTGGGCTTTTACATCCAAGCAACAGGGATGGGGGGTAGATGAAGAGTACCTCAGCCCACTGATGGGACCTGAAATTCTATAACAGGTAAGATTAATGCCCACTTTCTTTTCCAAATCACTGTTATGAAGCAGTGTGGTGTCTTAGAGCATGAGCTTAACAGTCAGACAGATCTGGGTTCAAATATGCTTCTTAGCTGGCTGTATAAGCTTGGGCAAGTAAATAAGTTCACTAATCCTCAACTTCTTTATAAGAAAAAAGGATTATCAAGACCCTAGTAATAATGTTGTTGTAAGGATTACATGAGAGACTGTACATAAAATTCTTAACAGTGTCTGACACAGAGCTCAATAGAATGTTCAGGAGCAGTTTTTACAGAATACTACTACAAGCACTCCTAAAGGATTTCAGTCAAGAACATACTTTAAAAGAAATCTGTAAGATTCATATATGTGTGTGTGTGTATATATATATGTGTATGTGTGTGTGTGTGTGTGTGTGTGTGTATAATATAATAAATTTTATTTTGTGTTTGAATGTTCTTAATATCTACTTTTAGAAATGAATTTGTTACAAGCTCTTCTGTAAAGAGATTCCCTTAATCATGGTGGGAAGGAAGTTCTCACTTACCTTGTCATTCACTACACTCTTCCCATCCCAAGCCCATCCTCTTTTGGTGAAGTAATTAACAGTTGCAAACTCAATTAGAGCAGAAAACACAAATGCGTAACACACAGCGATAAACCAGTCCATGGCTGTTGCATAAGCCACTTTGGGAAGAGAATTCCGGGCACTTATGCTTAGAGTTGTCATTGTCAAAACTGTTGTCACTCCTGCAGAAACATAGGAACCAGAAACATCAACAGATACTAGAAGGACAGCTCTGGAAAAATTATTTTTTCAAACCTACTTTCAGTTCCACTTCTATTCACTGAAAAAAAGAAAAATAAAAAACTACTTGAAGAAACTAACTTAGCATAAATAGTTGTTATAATTTTTGATGTAATGACTCTGAAATGCTTTAAGTGTTCAGTTTTGTTTATATGAATCCCTTTTTTTCTCTTCTTAAGTGCTACTGAGGTTAACAAGACTGGTGAGACTTAAGTAGAATTTCCTAGGAGACAGGCAGATCTTTTTAATTGACCCATTGTCCATTAACATTAATTTTTTAAGTCCTACAGAAAGCTTCACATTAATTCATTCATCATTTATCTGAATCATGCTAAGCTAAGCAATGGATGCTAAGCAATCATCCACATCAGTGATCACATGGAACTATCATTAAAAAGTTCTTCATTCTAAGTATAGCTAAGTATGAAATTTCTCCTGGATTGCTTAGCATCATGAGGACATAATTTTTCTCTCATAATGAAGCTTAGACTTTATAGAATATAAAGCAAGCAACTTAAACTAAAACCTTGTAAAATGTGTATCACTACTTTTAAGGAATTTTTTACACCTCTGTTGGTTTAAAAATTATTTTGTTCCTTTAATTGTAAAACTTTTATTCCAGTAGTCAGGGAATTCACAATGGCTAAGTAAAGAGAAAGCAATTGTTCAGGAGGTTAGTTGAAATATCAGCAGTCAAAGTGTCTACAATTATCTCTTTTATCAGAGATCCAATAGAAGTTTAATTATATATGTAAGGACTGCATTACATTAAGAAAGAGTTAAAATGTTAAGGATATTAAAATGTTCATTCACATGTTAAAGTTTTCTTTTTTTGTCTCATTTACAGTAGAGTTGTAGTAATTCAAACTAGCAGTAATTCTATTTAATCAAGAGTGAGTACATCTAGGAAAATGATAGTAAGATTAAAAGAAAAACAAATTTATTTCACTGCTGCTGAATCAATATTAAAAGGCCACATTTACAGCAACACATGGTATTCACATGTAGCAAACTAAAAAGTTTTAGATTGTGAAGATGTTTTCTTTTGAGAATTTAGTAAGAGAGATAATTAAATAGAATACCAGACAAATCCACCCACAAATATTAACAAACCACAACCATATCCCCCCCACATATACACATATAAACAATATAGTGACACAAATGACAAATTAAAATGTGAAAATATATTTTAGCATCATCAGCAGTCAAGGAAATAAAAAGTGAAAATGAGATGCCTCTTTAAAACAATATTATCAGAAAAATTGGAACAAAGCTTTAAAAGATTGATACTATCCTCATGGAAGGATGATGTGGGCAATGGACATCCTCTCTTAATGGGGAGAACAAATTGGTGCCATATCTAAAAACTGTTGCCTAAACCAAGGTCATAAATATTTAGGCCTCTATTTTCTTCTAAGTGTTTTATAGTTTTAGTTCTGACATTTAGGTCTTCGGTCCATTTTGAGGTAATTTTTGTGTATGTTGTGAGGTTGATGTCCAAATTCATTCTTTTGCATGTGAATGCCAGTTATCTTAGACCATTTATTGAAAGGACTTTCTTTCCCCATTAAATGATTTTAGTACTGTTGCTGAAGTTAATGTACCACAGATACATGGGTTTATTTCTAGATTTTCAATTCTATTCCACTAATCTACATATCTTTCTTTCTGCAAGTTCCACAGTGTTTTGATGACTATAGTTTTAGACTAAGTGTTGAAATTGGGGACCTTGAGTCCTCTAATGAATGCATTCTTTCTCAAGATCACTTTGGCCATTCAGGTTCCCTTATGTTTCTACATGATTGTATGATCAGTTTGCTCTTTTTTGCACAAAAAATCATGGATATTTTGATAGGTATTGCATTGTGTTACAAACCAATAGTGTCTCTCATAGTCACCTGTTCTTTATTTCTTCCTGTGAATTGAGTTATTTTCTAGTGTCCTTTCACTTCAGCCTGATGGATTCTCTTCAGTATTTCTTGTATGGCAGTTCTGCCAGTGACAAAAACTAACCCAATTTTTGTTTTTCTGGAAATATCTTAATTTCTGAAGGGTAGTTTTGATGGATATATAATTCTTGGTTGAGAATTTTTATTTTGATGCTTTGCATATGATATCCTATTGCCTTCTGACTCCATGCTTTCTGATGTTAGCTGTTAATCATATTGAGAGTCCATTTTATCCATTATTCTTTTGCTGGTTTCAAGACTGTTTGTCTTTCTTTCAAGTTTGATTCTGATGTGTTTAGTTGTGTATCCCTTTGAATTCATTCTATTGCTAGTATATTGAACTTCTTGAATGTGTTGGTTAGTACTTTCCATTAAATTTGAAAGTTTGGGCCATTATTTCTTTAAATATTTTTTAAACTTTGACTCCTCTCTCATGACAATACACAATACATATATTAGCAAGCTTAATAATGTGTCAGAGATTTCTTAAGCTGTGATTATTATTTCTTTTTCTTTCCTCTCCCACATATTCAATAGTCTTAATTGACCTCTCTCTGAGTTCACTGATTTTTCTGACTTACTTAATCTATTGTTGAGCTCCTCTAGTGAATTTTTCATTTCTGTTATGGTACTATTGAATTACAGAATTTGCATTTGTCTCCTTTTTATAATTCTTATAATTTCTATTTTGGGGAAGGCATCCTTATTGTATTTTCCTTCAGAAAGGTTTTTTTTTAGCTCTTCTATTTTATCTAATATAGTGTATTTGAAGTTTTTGTCTACTTAGTCCAATACCTGGGCTTCACCAGGTAAAATTTCTAATGAATCTTTTTTTTTTCTGTGAATGGGCTATATTTGTTTTTTTACTTGTATGCTTCACCTTCTTGGTTGTTAACTGAACATTCTTAATATTAATGTGGCAATTCTGGAAATCATATTTTTTCCTCCTCCAGAGTTTGCTGTCAATCACTTCTTGTTGTATTTGCTATTGATTGTTTGTTTAGTAATATTTCTTGACTAATTCTATAAAGTCTGTATTTTTGTTTGCAGCCACTGAAGTCTCTGTTTTATTAGCTTATTAGTCATATTATGATTGGGTAGATGTTTCTTAAACACTGGGACCAAAAATTTCAGTCTATGCCAAGTGGCCCTGAGTGTGGGTTGGGGTATGTCTTCAACATTCAGTCAGGCAGTTTATAACTCTGCCTTAGGATCTATTTCCTTATTTCCTGCCTGTGTACAGCCTCGGTCAACTAGAGTTAAGAACTTAGGACTTTCTCAGGTCTTTCCTGAGTATTAATTAGCTCTGTGTATGTATGTGAACCTCTGGATTCCAAGAAATATGTCAGGGCTTTTCAAATCATTTATGTACAATTAATTCCCAAGACTTCCCTCACAAACTTTTTGGTTAGCCCAATGTTTACCCCAAATATTATCTACTGCCCGGCAGAAGTAACTAAAACATCTGCCTGTAAATGCCTTCAGTGGCATCCTCCAGGTAGTGGCTTTGGCATGAGGGGAATTCTGAATAAGGAGAAATAAAGACAAGCTTTTTGAGAAGGTTGTCAAGAAAGCCACCATACAGATGAATTGATGATAAGTCTTTCTGAGTTCCATATTTCTTCTTCTGCTATCAATAATTCAAGATTTAATTTCAGAGCTATCACTTAGCTAGGAAGCAGAGATGGGTAAATTGCAACACCATGAATATTGCTGTTTTTACCAAGATGCAGCTATTTTTCTTGAATAAATGTAGTCTGGGTTGCTATAAGTCTTTGGTTGATTTTTTCAAAGTTCTGAAACAGTTGATTTTTGACAGTTCTACCAGTTTTTCATTGCTTTTATGAAAGTGTGGGATTTTACAATTTCTTATGCTATCATTTTTGCTATCATTTCTAACATTTTGAATGGGTCTACCCTGAGACCCAGCAACTCTTCTAGATGAAACAGGGCAGTATAAAATATTGGTTAACAGAGTGGCTATGTCCTTAGAAGGCCTCATAGACAGATTGCCTGGATTTGAATCCTGGCTCCATTCTATGCTGCCTTTGTGATTTTGGGCAAGTACATCAACTATTCTTATTACTTTCCTCATCTATAAAATAATTTTTAAACCTTCGCTACTTCAGAAGGATGTTGTAAAGGTTAAATATACACTTAGAACAAAGCCTAGAACATTGTAAGTATTCAGTAAATGTTAGCTATTTTTATGTTTGTTGTTATTACGATTACTATTATCAGAAATCTATCTTACTGAGATGACAGCAGAAATATATATAACAATAAATTAAGAACACAGTATTGTTATGGCAACCAAAGGAGTCAGTGCTTATGAAGCCAAGCCTCTATCATGAAAAGATACCTCAGTGCACGTGTGAAAAAAATATCACCATGAGAGCAAATTCAAGACAGATTTAAATCAGAGAAATAAAACCCTCCTTTAGACCTTTATCCCCCTCAAATGCTCGTGGTGTATGAGTGTTTGTGGCTGGGGTGTGGAGTGATAGGAAGGTGAAGTCTCAGAAACCAAACAGGCACAAAAACTGCAAGAGAACTGAAATGTGGAACTGTTTGATACCACCTGCTGGTTACTGCTAGAAATGGCAGAAACAACGGATATTCTAATAAATGTTGGATTTTTTTCCCCTCTTCAGCCCAATAGACAAAGCAGTAATTGCCACCCCCTTCAAAATAAATAAATATATTATTTTTAAGGTTGGGATTTCTAACTCATAACTTCACTACCTCTGAATGATAAAAACATTGAAACTTCTACGTGTTAGAGACAGAAATTAGAATGTGGATAACATCTTTGTCATTAACTCAAATTTCACTGATTTAAAATTTAGAAACTATTATGATCTGAAAAAAAAATGTTCAAAGGTAATTTAGAGTGTGATTGACACTGTGAGGGATTACAAATGTTTTCTTTTGCTTACCTGAATAGATCTTGTGTTTAATAAATCCAAAACTCATATCCCTTTCCCCAA